TTAAATTTTAAATACAACTACATTTTTTCAAAAAAAAAACTGCATAGAATTCTAATTTTCCAAAAACAAACAAACAACAACAACAACCCAATTAAATCCCACAAGAGTAGGGTCTGGGGAGGATGTGTGTACGCAGACCTTGCCCCTACTCGAAAGTAGAGAGGCTGTTTCCAAAGAGACCCCCGGCTCAACGTCGAAAGTTGCATTGCTTGACTAACTGCTACTTCATTAATTAAAGAAGCGCAGACAGTTTAGAGATCCATTTTAATTTATTCCATCACACTCCAAAGCCAAAAAATGGTGAAATTTTGGCTCCATCGGAGATGATGGAAATTAAATCTTCCAAAAAAAGGACATCTAAATTTAGAATTTATTAACATAAATGTGGGCTATAACAATTTCGGCCAAGGTGATGTTTATGTGGATAAAAGAGCTCCACATGTCTAGCACTGTTCATCGCTGCATGCCTGCATCTATATGCTAGAGGATGAATAACACCGTTAACTCAAATGGAAAAGATAACAGAAAAAAGACTAAAGAAATGGACGGTAACTTTATTGGCTCTTATATAATTAAAAATTATTAATAGGGAGATAATTAGGGAGATTCTCACTGCGGGGCACACAATCGGTTGTGGGCCTGTGGCGGAGAACAAAACGACTAAGGGTATGAGAGTGTTATTTGCAATTTTGGGCCACATTTGAGTTAGAGTAGTGGAAATGCATATAACGCCAGGGGTGCCATGGGGCTTTTAACGCTACCTGGGCGTTAAACACTGCCCCCCTATGGGCATTAGTCCAACGTCACTTTCCTGCGTAAGAAGTTTGACGCAACTCCCCCCTCCCCCCAACGGCTAATTTAGCTGTTACCATTTTTAAAAAAATTTAATTATTTTTTTTATAAATATCAAACTCAATCTTCAATCTTATTCACATCTTTCCTTTCTTTAATCTCCAATTCTCAATCTTATTCACATCTTTCCTTTCTTTAATCTCCCATTCTCAATCTTCTTCACATCTTTCATTTCTTCAACTTTTGTTAAAATGAATTCCCCCGGCTCCCATTTCCCCCCGACAATCTCGAGCCTAACAAGCACGCCATGTGGATCTTCCAACAATACGGAAGTAATCCAAGGTTGTTCGAAACGCAACCATAGGCGTACCTGTATGAGCGGGAGTCAGTTCTGGAGACTCAACCGGAACCATTGAGAACCAAAAAAAGTGCACACTGGAAAAGTCACAAAGCGAAAGGCACTCAACCGATGACCAAGGTGGCACGGTCAATCCAAAAGTGGATGGCGGAGGAAGAGTGTTTGTTGGCGTCGGCTTGGGTTGACGTCTCTGAGCATCCTATCGTTCGTAAAAAATTATATGTTTTCTAATATATTTGTGTTCTTATTTATATATTCATGATATATATTTGTGTTAGATAGATTTTGTTCAATTAAATACTTTTTAAAAGTTCGGAGCAAATGAAGAATGCGATGTGGGATCGTATCGAGGAGAAGTTCTTTGCGGCGATGAACAAGGACGCCTCATACCATACCCGGGACCAACTCACTACAAATGTGGCCACATCAACTGTAAAGTCTGAAAGTTTATCGGAGTTAACAAGGAATGCTCTCGGTCCCGGAAGAGCGGGCCGAACAAACGGCCCGATATCAAGACGACGGGCACCAAGGCAAGCTGCCCATCAATCTTTGGAGAGTTTTAAGACGTTTACCGAAATGACAACTCAACAATCCCGATGCCAGATCCTAAAAGAAAAGATCCTCTGTTGACACCGAGGTTGAGGTCGATGACACTATCGGTTCGTCCGAACAAAGGCCTCCCTTGAACGTTGACGATTTCGATGACGAGGACCCCATTCCACGACCTATTGGAATAAAGAAGGAAAATCCATTGCGTCGGGTTCTGGAGGGTCCGTCTCTGTTTCTGTTTCTGTTTCTTTTCACGACGATATCAATATTAGAGAAGAAGAGAGGGCGAGAAGAAAGCAACAGAAGGAAGAGATCGAAATAATAGAAACTGACCTTAATACATTATCGGGCTTCAAAAGTATGATCTTCGAGAGAAGACAAAAAGATATCAAGGCTAAATATAATTTACCTTAGTTTTTTTATTAATGTATTTTTTAATTATTGTCATTTTAATTTTTTTTGATTTAATGAATGTAATTTTTTGTATTATTCTCGTTTCATTTTAATTAAATAATGAAATAATTAAATTTTATTAATTTAGTTTTAAAAGATGTTTATTTAAAATGAGAAAAATGAAAGTTTCAGTTTGAAGCCCCGGGGCTTCAAACCCATTTTCGGTGAATCTGTAAGGTAAGTTAAAGCTGATGTGGCAGAGAGAGAAACGTTGAAGCCCTGGCTTGAAGCCCTAAGGCTTCATACGTATTTCAAGTGCTTCATCTGTAATTTTTTGTTGTTTTTTAATGGAGGGACCCGCACTATTTCTCTCCTCTCCTCGTTAAACTTTTGACGCATAAGGGATGAAGCTCGTATGAAGCCCCAAGGGGGCGGTGTTTACTGCCCCTTTGGCGTTAAAAGGAGCAATAACGCCCCCGACGTTACAACCAATTCCATTGCCCTTAGGGTCAAAGTAACGGGGTACAACCGTTTATAATATTTAAAGGTTATTTTTTATTCTATCTCGAACAAAAATCAAACTTATATCAAACGGAATATTTATCTACACCTTACCAAGTACGGAGTATGATATACTTCGCATTGTATTATTATTCTTTTAATATTCTTTCATTATTATTATCGTTTTTATATTTATTTCTACTACTAACTGTAATTCTTTGGGTTTATTAATAGTCTGATACTATTTGAATTGAAAAAAGATTCATTTATATCTTTATTCTTTTGTTTATGACCCTTTTAGATTCGAAATCATTATTTTTTGAAAAAATTATCTCAAATAATCTAGCTTTTTATTGATTTTTTAAAAAATAATCTCATTTTTCACTGTCACTAGAATTAGTCTTACTTTTCTCCAAGTGTGCAAGTTTTGGATAGCCGTTAAGAAGCTCACGGCCACTTAACAGAATTTTTAGAAAATGCCTATTTTCGCATATAAATAAAATGTGAGATTGTTTTAGGTAAATTTACTTCTTTCTTATGTTTCAATTTTAAATTTTAAATTTATGTCTTTAAAATATAACAGTACACTCTTGTTAGAGACTTGTCTCAGTTCTTTTTAAAAATATAACGATTTACAAATTTTTTATTCTATTCTTGGGAGAAATATAATATTAGATTATCAAAAAATAATTTACAGTATAGCTCGAGAAAGAAATTGCAATACAAAAGAGTTGTAGTGAGTTATAAGAATAATTAGTGTCATTCTGGAGAAAAGAAATATTGTGCCATTTTCACAACTTTTGAATTATTATTTTAGGAAAACAATTATGCTGAATTATCAAGAAAAATCACAAATTTTGTAGTGCCATTTTAGAAAAAGTAATATATGTAGTAGAAGATTATGGATAAACACTTCGGAGTGTTGTTCATGAAATAAATTGCAATACAACAAAAAATGTAGTGAGTTATAAAAGTAAAAGTTCTATTTCATGGTAAAAAAATTACTCCGTAGTATAGTATAAAAAACAATTCAAAGTGTCGTTAAAGAAAAGTTATGCTTCTTTATAAAAAAAATATGCTTTTGTTTTAATATTATTTGAGTTATGCATGTTTAATTTTTGGCACTGTTTGAATATGGTATGGTATTCTACACCGTTTCAAAATGGAATAGTATCGAATGGTTTTAGAGTTCATTCCGTACCGATACCAAATCGTTTAAGTAAGCACAGCCCTTGATAGATTTTGATAGTATCGCAAACTATCATAGACCGCATCCAGTAAATATATTATGCTTCTATTTTCAACTTTTGTGAAAAATCACTTTACTATATTCAATTACTCCCAATCATCCTCTTCTTAGCACTTCATTCCATAGTTATTTAAGTCGTGGCGCGCACAAACGCAAGGAGCAATAGTAGCATAGCATTTCTAAATTTTATTGAAAATTAAAGCATCTCTAAATTAGGCCCCGTTCCGTTTTTTCTTATTTTTTCTTATTCTTATTAAAATCAGATCAGATCGAATCAGATCACATCAGATCAAATCGAATCAGATCAGATCGAATCAGATCAGATCCAATCGGATCAGATTAGATCAGATCCAATCAGATCAGATCAGATCCCATCAAGAATTATTATTATTATTGTTATTGTTATTGTTATTATTATTGTTATTATTATTACTATTATCATTATTATTCTTCAAAATGAAAAAAAAATAAATTTTAGAAACAAGTGAAATAGAAAATTGAGAAAGTAATCCTTAATTATTAGACGTCGGAAAAATTATTTTTTAAAATACATTGACAATATCAATCTAATTCTACTTTTAAAATACATTTTTATTGCTACTTGTAATTTGAGTTTCTAAAATTTTGATCTTTTATAAGGATGAAATATTTTAATAAAAATACTATCTCTTCCATATATTGATTATTTAAAATACTATGAATTTCATTCATAATAAAAATCAAATCAGATCAGACCAAATCAGATTCAATCAGATCAGATCATAACTTATCAAAATCAGATCAGATAAAATAAATTGAACGGAACAAAGCCTTAGTAGTACATAAAAAATTATTGAAAAGCATAAGAAAATTTTAAAAAGCAACCAAGATTATCAAAGTCACACGTAACACCACTGAAAAATTAAAATAAGACAAAATTTAGAGATTCGTCTTAACTGAAAGAATGTTTTTTGAAAAACATAACACTAATGCTAGGCGTCTCCAAGCATGTTCTAAAGAGAATTAAGCGCCCCCTGTGTTTGATGCAAATTACATTATTTATCAAAGAGATTGATTAGAGTTTAACTTACCAAATTCCAGATAAGTTCTCTAGCCAATTATAGGGTTAGGGGTGTAAATCGATACTAAAAATTCAATTGTTATCCAGATTTGTATAAGCTTTAAGAGTAAAATTTATTAACATCCGTTTGAACAAATGTTACTCCAATCTAATAATTGATGTGCCAATTATAAATGATGCAAACATGGTAATTACACATTCGATTTGTGTAACGTGTGCTCCAAATACGTACGGAATAACTTATAAGGTAGGTAAGTGCTGATCTGATGACGAGGATGAACCAAGACTTGGACTCTAAAAGCACAAGTGTGTGTGAATCATCAAAAGAGCAATACAGACGTACCAAATGTTCCAGCACAAAACAAGTCACATAAAAATTGAAGACCGATGGAGATCGAATGCAAGGTGATCGATCTTGAACTAGCGAGCACGCTTTCTGCTTCTGTTTGAAGGTTCTGCCTTAACCTTTGGTTCCACGACATTGTTCACCGGCTTGCTCCTGGGCTCTTCAGGTAGAGAGGAAAGCAGAAATCTCTTGTTGGAGCCAACATGGTTACAGAACAGTTTCAGCATGTGTCTACCCATCATCCATTTAAGCATTATCTTCATGTGTGTTTTGCTGTTTAGTCCACTGATATTAGCTTCCTGCAATATTTACTAGTAGAGAGTAAGTGTCATTCTTTGACTCATCGCCATTACCATTAAAAAAAGACTAACAAAGATGACTGTAATACTTAAATCCAGCAATGATAGCTTTGAAAGTTCGTCTTGTTTCTTAAGCATGACCAATACAACAATGCCAACATGTCAAGCTAAACCATTCTTTTTTAGTATTTAGAGTGTGTATGTGACCTTAACATTTGGAGAATGGGCACAATCAATCTAGACATGCACACCATTCTCCAAATGGCAATGCAAAGACGAGTGAGCTTGAGCGAGAATGAAAAGGTACAAGCTATCACATCTTAAAATATTAAACCGTGAGTTTCATCGTAAAAAGTCAACATGATATGAGGAGTACTCCAAGAGATTATATGGTGGTTTGCATCTTTATATTTGACTGATGTAGGATCATGCCGTCTAAACAATGATGACATGTTGGAGAAGATAAACCTTGAAACTTGAGTGCTGATGATCTAATTGATCGCAAACTATATTACGACTTGAGAAGTTTGGATTTCAGTCAAAAAGCTCAATCTGATAGCAGTAGTAAAAGGCCTTGTATGTTGTCTTATATGGAGTATATTTATATTTGGCCAATGAAGGATCATTTAACATTAATTCTGTAACTAGAGAAAAAGGTAGATAACTTTATAGTGGAAAGGGCCAGACTAAGAGTCACTTTGGATAGTTTTGGAGCAGAAGTCTTTGGAAGGTTTAGTTCATATCGGAATAGATTACTATCTCCATCCCACTGTATCCATCTATTTACATTTTCCATGGTCTCCTAGATGAATGTTCGACTGTATTTATAATTACATAACATAATACTCCTTTAAATTTGAAATGAAATTGATAAACTAAGATGTAACAGTGTTTTGGAAGGCAAATATAATGAAAACATTTTTATTTTATAATGCAACATGCAAAGCATTTTTAATTAAATAATGGTCAACATTTGTCAAAGTTGCCAAATGAAAATCAAACTAGAGAATTACACTGAAAAAGAAAAGTATGTTTAATTAAAATGATATATGCACATTTGTTCTATTATTCCTTCAACCTTAAAACATCCATAATACTCCGCTACACTACCAACTCCCGTGCTGGTTTTGAACTGAATTAGTATGTACCATACCGGTACCTTATTTTTTGTACCGGGACTTTAAAAAGGTTAAGCTTTGGTTCAGAATTCATTGGAAATATTTAGAAATAAATACTCAAACACATATCAATTACAATAAAAACTTATAATCAATAAGAAAATATCATTAGAAACACATTAAATTAGAATAACTCCAAATTACCGATATGGTCTGTACGCCCATGTATTAGCAGGAGCTGTAAGTACCTTCAGTATTCCAACTGTATGGAATCAATAAGCATGATGAATATACTTAGCTAAAGTGTTCTAAATCTCCCAACTAGCTCTGCCTAGGATCGAATGCTCCCTTAATCGCTTAGATTTTATCCCTGCCTAAGGCCTCCCACTATTAATCTACTGGCTAAAACTTTATTTTAGAAAATTTTGGGATCAAACCATACTCCCTGTAAAACTGACTGGTAGTCTGATACCATGAAAGTGGAAGTAAGAACAGAGATAAAGGAAGCACCTTGGCGTGGTTCCAAGTGTTGGAAACGCTGAGAGGGCCGTGTTGCTTGATAACATTGTAGAGGTCTTCGGCTATGGAGGCCGCCTCTTGCTGGGGAACCTTCGGGTTTATCTTCCTCAGATTGGGCGCCCGCTTCCTCGAATCGGACATATATCTGACCACCGTTCTCATTGCTCCTCCATTTCCTCCGCCGGGCCACCACATTTCCCACGACGACTGCTCTCTGCGATCCGACGCTCGGAAACCCTAGAAATCCAAATTGTGCAATTTTGTTCTGACCCTCTACCTCCTCCTCCCTTTTCGGATTGAATGGATCCGAATTGTGCAATTTGCTTTGATCGGAACATTCACTCAAACCAGTAGAGAAAGAAAAGGGTTGTGGCGATGAAGTGCCTAATATGGGCCATTTAGATTATTTTATGCTATGGGTTTTTTATTCGGTTTAAAGCCCAATTTATTTTTGGATTGAAAAAAAATATAAGAATTTGGTTAATTTATTCTATAAGGCCTTCATGATATTGGTACATCTAGGGGGTGTTTGTTTTTCTGCCAAAAGACCTTCTGGCGTCTTTTGTCTGCGCCGCGCATACGCGCGCAGACGATGGACTCTGCAGATTGTTTGTTTTTTGGAAGACATTTCACTCAAAAAGGTCTTCCTGGCATCTTCTTGGAGAAGACATTAACCAATGTCTTCTAACATCTTCTCCTTTTTTTTCTACTTCTCTTCACCACCACAACCGTCCACCGCCACCGTCCACCACTACCACCGTCCACCATCACCGTCACCGTCCATCACCATCGTCGTCCACCACCACCGCCACCATCTACCGCCACCACCACCACCGTCCACCACCACCTCCGTCAACGTCCACCACCACCCTCCACCACCACCACAATCGTCCATACACCACCACCATACACTACCACCATTAATTTATATAGCAGTCTACAAACATTAAAAAAACAAACAGTCTTCTTCTTGCAGACCGCAGACGTTCGGTCCACCACTTCTCCTGCAGATGTCTACAATAGTGGTCCGCAGACCGCAGACCTTTTCCTGCAGAAAAAACAAACACCCCCCTAGAGATGAGCAAAAGAATGGGTAGTCAAACCGAATCGATCTCTTGGAAAAATAGATCGGTACTATTTAAGATGAGATTGGTCCGGTCTTTTTAAAAAATTAATTCAGACTAATTTGGTTTTATGAAAAATATTGACCTTATGGGATCAGGTAGTCTCATTAGGACCAGTCCGGTCTAGTCTTTAATATGTAAAATTCTTAATTTTTTGTTCTTCAAAAAAATATTCGCAAAAAGTAAATAAATCTTCGTTTTGATTATTTTTTTCCTATACTTTATTGATTTATAATAATTATGCAACATGAATATTATTATGCGAGATGGAAATTTGATAGAATCAATAAAAAATAAACTTTAATATGTACATTTTACATATATGAGATTTTTTTGTTATCACTTATTCACTTAGACCATGCGTAATGGGCACACGTAATGGGCGCGTTACTTCCACATTAACGCCCATTCACGCTTGAGTACTCTATTACTATAGGCGTTAAATTCTAAAAAATAGTTGTGGGGGTTAATCCTTTAATGAGCGGTGGAGTGACTGCATTTGAAAATATTTGTAAGTGCGAAAATATTTGTAAGTGCCGTAGTAATAGTGTTTTTATTTGACCGACCATTGTACAGATCATGCATCCGTGACACCATGTTTGGTTCAAGGAATTTGAGAGAGAAATGAAAAGAAAATGAGGAAAAAAACATTTTTGTCTTTTGTTAAATACCCTTTTACACAATTTTTTAAAACTTTTGGTGTTGTTGATTGATGGAAACCGCTTTTTCGGGGCGTCGACCCGATGAAATCGGTATCGGGTCGGCACCGCACCGAATAGCGAAATCTGGAAAATAAATAAATAAATAAAGCGGAGAGAAAGTATTTATACGTGGAAATCCAAATCGGGAGAAAACCACAGGCCTTTTTAGGCGGTGCCATGCCAAAGGGGAGGAACTTTTATTAATTTCGGACAATTTACACATACATCATTGTAGGAGCTTGGAGTCATTAATGGAGCTCCAAGCTAAAAGAAGAAGAAGAATGAATAATAGTAGTGAAACTTCTAAGAAGTTGGCCTCCCTCCTCCGTCCTTCGTAGCATTCTATTTAAAGGGGAGTACATGCATGTATCCTAACAATGCCATGAGGTGGCCATGTCACCTCCATGTGCATATATATGTTTAGTATATGGGCTCCACGGAATATTTTTACATCATTTCAAATATATTAATATGTACATATATCTCTGGTTCCGTCTTAAATTATTTATCTGATTTGTATCTTGGGCCAGATAAAATTGGGCTTTCTTGTACTGTTGGATTAGGAAAAATCCTTAATCCATCACATGCCCCCTAGTTTTGAGTTTGTCTCGGGGAACGAGACAGATTCAAAACTATATGACTCGGTGGGTTGCCTCGTGGGATAGAATTTTTCTTGGTGCCTCGGGAAGAAGACTTTTCTCAGGGATTTGAGCCTCTTGGAAGAGGATTTTCTCAGGGCTTAGTGCCTCTTGGAAGAGGACTTTCTCAGGGATTTGTTCTTCTTGGAAGAAAACTTTTCTCATGGATTTGAGCTTCTTGGAAGAAGACTTTTTTCAAGGATTTGTGCCTTTTGGAAGAGGACTTTTCTCGGGGATTTGTGCCTCTTGGAAGAGGACTTTCTCAGGGCCTTGTGCCTCTTTGGAAGAGGACTTTCTTGAGACTTTGTGCCTTTTTGGAATAGGACTTTCTCGCGACTTTGTGCCTCTTTAGAAGAGGACCTTCTCGGGACTTTCTGCCTCTTTAGAAGAGGACTTTCTTGGGACTTTGTGCCTCTTTGGAAGAGGACTTGGTGCCTCGGGGGAGAGGACTTTTCTCGGAGATTTGGGCCTCTTAGAAGAGGACTTTCTTGGGACTTGGTGCCTCTTTAGAAGAGGACTTTCTTGGGACTTTGTGCCTCTTTGGAAGAGGACTTGGTGCCTCGGGGAAGAGGACTTTTCTCGGAGATTTGGGCCTCTTAGAAGAGGACTTTCTTGGGACTTGGTGCCTCTTTGGAAGAGGACTTTCTCGGGACTTTATGCCTCTTGGAAAAGGACTTTTCTTTCTTTTTAGTTCCTCGGGAAGAGGACTCGATGCCTCTTGGAAGAGGACTTTTCTCGGAGATTCGTTGCCTCTGAGAAGAGGACTTTGCTCGTGGCTCTTTTTTCAATATTCTTTGGGAGCCTCTAAACCCCCACATGATATCTATCTGACGGTGGTTGGGCGCTCCGCTCTTATTGAATTATAGACAATCTCCGTCCACCTTTCTCTTCGTCCCTGTCCCTCCAATTGAAGGGCGGGGGGGGGGG